TTTAATGAAAACATTGAAGTTCCATCTATTTTCTTCCTGTTCCCCAAGGGATCTTGGGCAACCCACTCAAACACAGTTCAAAATCAGGACGATGGCCATGTGGGAGGGCTGGCTACAGTGTTCTGGTGCCACAGGGAAAGCGGCCCCAACAGGCTTCCTCGGGGAGTCAGGGAGGGGTCCCTGAGATTGCAACAGATTCAGCAGCTGACTGGGTACCACCCTGCAGATGATGACTTCATTGTAATTGCCATTTCCCTTTCCAGGAAGAAAACAGATGCGCTTCTTTGCCAGTGCAGACAAATGGCCTCTGCTTAAGGTTCCTCTTCATTAATTAGTACGAAGACAGCCAATGTGGTGACTAAATTTGGAATCGGTGGCTTTTAAAGGTGAATCTCTCCATAAGCTATACCTGCATTTCTTCTCCCCCTACAGGGATAAGAGTGGCAATTAGATTTGTGGCTATGGCTTTCTGTTAAGCTCAAAGAAACCCTTTCAAACGACTGCCTCTCTATGGCCCAGCACCTTCCCCGGGATCATGCCTCTTCCTGTCAGCCACAGCTTGGCGTCAGAAGGATCAGATGTCCCCAAACAGCACCCTTGATCTTCTAGGGGAGGTTGAAACCAAGGACTCCCAAGCAGTGGTGTGCTGGTAAATGTTGAATAGCTGGCTCACCAGAGAAGGGGAGAGCCCTCATGGGGTACCGGTTGTTGATCCCATGGTGGAAATACTCCCACCGGGGCTGATTTCAAGCTATCGACTTGAGGTCACTGAACATGACGTCACTGAGCATGAATTTGGGAAATTGACATGCACTCTCTGGATACAGTGAATTCACCCCAAGAATATACAGAATAGTAAAATGTAATCCGGTGATTGGGAAGAAATGAGTTTTGAGTAAATCTGTGTTTCAGGAGATTGATCAGAATTTTTTTTTTTTTTTTTTTTTTTTTTTAAAGAATGGCTTGCAGAACCAAACCGAGAAAAAGACCCTAAAAATGAAACCATCTGCTCTCGTGCACTGGTATGAGCCAGCCCCAGCACACCACTGCTCCCAAGTTTTCGATCAACCTTGAAATCACTTGGGTGCCTAAAAAGCCTGCCCTCAGACTCTCCGGGCAGCAGTGTTCTGCAGAACTTCCGGGAACAAAATCCCTCAGCCTCAGAAGCCAGCCCTCAGCCAGGCTTGACTCGGCCACGCTGCCCCTGTGCCTGCCCTAGAGTCCTCACACGTTGGCACCGATCACTTCAAATGCCAGTGACTCACCTGGTGCACACACACACTTCACAGGCAGACACCGTCCTGGTCGCACCCATGACCTCCCAAGATTTCCCCGAGGCAGAAACCAGACCTGGTGCGCTGCTGTGCCAGGTTCAGGCCTGGCCTGGGGCTGTGGGGTCCCATTAAGCCCCTTGGTTCCAAGGACACAGACACCAAATCCACCAACCTGAAAGTAATACTCGCTCATTGACAAAGACCCTCAGCATCACTCAAATGCCAAGTGGGCCCTGTCTTGAGTTTTGATTCAAACCGACTGTTGATTTTTTTTTTCTTCTTTTTTTTTTTTTTCCAACTGTTAATTTTTTGAGACAATCAGGGAAATGCGGACTTTGGTTTAATGGCATTTTTATTTATTTTTTTAAGTTTATTTTGAGAGACAGAGATAGCACAAGGGGGGGAGGGGCAGAGAGAGAGGGAGAGAATCCCAAGCAGGCTCCACACTGTCAGTGCAGAGCTTGATGCGGGCTTGAACCTGTGAAACCATGCGGTCATGACCTGAGCGGAAACCAAGAGTTGGATACTTAACTGACTGAGCCACCCAGGCGCCCCTAATGCCATTTTTAAATGTGATAATGGCATTGTGGTTTTTTTGTTTTTTGTTTTTTTAGTTTAGTTTGAGAGAGAGCACAAGTGGGGGAGGAGCAGAGAGAGAGGGAGAGAATCCCAAGCAGGCTCCACACTGTCAGTGTAGAGCTTGATGCGGGGCTCAAAACTCATGAACCGTGAGATCGTGACCTGAGCCAAAACCAAGACTCGGATGGATATTTAAGTGACTGAGCCACCCAGGTACCCCTGTAGTTTTGGTTTTTGGTTTTTGGTTTTTTAAAGCAAATGAGTTCATATATATTTTTAGAGCAGAAGTTGGTTGGCAAACTACAGTTCCACTTCCTGATTTTGTAAATAAATTTTTATTGGAACACAGCCACAACCAATTCATTTATACATGCTGTGGCTACTTGGAGGGCAGAATTGAGTAGGCAAGACAGAGATGGTGTGGGCCAAAAAGCCCCACATATTTACAGAAAAAGTTTGCAGACCCCTGTTTTCGAGAAGCATCCTGAAGTATTTACCTACAAAATATAAGATGTCTGGTATTTGCTGTACAATAATCCGAGGAGGAAAGAGAAAATGTGAATGAAACAAGATGGGCTAGGAGGCGACGGATGCACTTGAGTTCGGCATCCCAGTCTCTCTGTTGTTACATATGTTTGAAATTTCCATAATGAAAAGCTTTTGAGAAAGGAGGACCTGCTCTCCACAGCCTCACCACTGTTCTGACTTCACACCAGGACCCTGGCACCTTTAATCTAACAGGAATCAGGACAAAGCCACCATCATTCACCCCGTTTCCGCACACGCCCGAAGATGACTTCTGTCCCAGGCTAACCAGAAAGGCCATGGGCACTGAGAGGGCCCCCCAGAGCCAGCTGTGCAGTGAGTGCCCGCCCCCATGGGGCCCAGGGATTCTGGAAAACTGGGGAAGGAGGGGCAGGAGGGCTCCGTAGGAAGGGGGACTCTGTCCAGGAGTCAGGCCATAGATCAAGGGCCTCTGGTAAGTCTGTCCTCTGCTCTCTGTACCCTTCCCCGATCCAGGCCCGGAGCCCTGACTTCCACCTGGGGCCCTGGACATCCCCTGGGCAAGGCCCTGCCCTCTTCTGAGACTTGGGGAAAGTTTTAGTACCAACCACTCGTGGTCTTTGAACTGACTCTGGGAAAGCGATATATGTAGGCACTAGCCCTCTCCCCTGCACATCTGTGTGGCTGCCACTATTTCTTTTCCTGCCCCCATACCCAGGTCCCCGTCCTGCACCATATCTGGCCACCTGTGGGAGTTCTGTTCAACATCAACCTAAGCCTAGCCCAGTGGTTCTTAGCCAGGGTGATTTTGCGTCCCCTTCCCCGGAGAATGATTGACAATGCCTGGAGACAGTGTCTTTTGTCACACTTTGAGGGCCGGGTGCTGCTGGCATCTAGAGGGTAAAGGCCAGTGAGGCTGTTCGGCATCCTACGATGCACAGGATGGTCCCCACCAAGATGGCCCCCAATGTCAACAGTGCCGAGGCAGAGAGACCCTGCCCTGGCCCCCTCCCTAGTTCGCAAGCCTGAGCTTTCTGCTGGTGAAAAAAGTGCTTAAGAACATGGGACTGGAGCCAGGCTGCTGGGATCACACCCAGGTTCTGCTACTTCTTAGCTGGTGACTTCTCTGGGCCTCGGTTTTCTCCACCGTGAGATGGGGACAGCTAAACCCACCTTGTCAGAATTGTTCCCGGAGTAAATGAAGTGAAGCATGTCTGGCACGTGGTACCAGTCATGTTATAGGTAGCAAGATGAATCAGGCCTGGCCCTAGTAGGGCCCCTGCTCCCTCAGGCGCTGCTGGTTTCCAGTCCTGGGTGGCCTCATGAGTTGGGTTCCTCTCCCTTCCTTTCCCTGTCCTGCTGAGCCCCTTGGGTGAGGTCAGCACCCCACTTTTGTTGTAGAGTCCAGGAGGTGAGCTCGGGGCATGCCCGGAGCCAGGGGATTTTTAAGCACAATCCTGTGGTGGAGAGACCAGGGGGTCTACTCGGACCCCGGCAGGGCCCTCCAAACTGATCTGGGGACCGACACGGCTTGCCGAGACCAGTGCAGGAGTTCCACAGCCCTGCGGCCTCCACCCCTTTCTGCATCCATGTTACTCCTGCTCGTGACATTGCCATGGGGAAGTAGCACAGATGGGCCTCCGGGGAGGGGCCAGCCGGACCCCCAGCTCTGCAGGCCGGGCTCCCCCTCCGACACAAGGTGTCTGGGATTAGAGGAGAAACCAGGCGGTGTGCTCAACTCGTGTCTCCATGAAGGAAGGAGGCAGGGTCTGTGATGGGAAGGCCTTCCCACGCTGAGGCCTGGGGTGAGTCCTGGGGTCCTCCTCCCCCACCTGCCCCCTGTCCATCTGTCAGATCCCTCCTCTGCCAAGAACAGCTCTGTGAGGTCCACAGTGAGCACGAAGCACTGAGCACAGGACCACCTTAGTGCGCGCTCACCGTGGGGACCGTCTCCGTCGTTTTTGCTGACTGTCCCCTTTGCTTTCTTGGCATTTGGCCTCAAGGCCCAAGGCTCTGTCCAGCTGATTGTGTTTCCTGCTTGGCTGCTGCCTCCCAGGCCCCTGCATCATATGTTTACTGACTCACTCAGATATACCCCCTCCAACCCCCACCCTCCACCAAACCACATCCCTCTTTGATGTACTGTTTGGATTTTCCCATCTTGTTGCTGGAGAGGATCTGCCACCAGCTGTCTGGTGCCTTCTCCCCCCACCCCAAGAAAACCCCCTGAAATTGCCTCTCTACCTCCACCCATTTCAGGGGACCCACCACGTGTCCCCTTGGCTAAAGCCCGAAGGGCCGAGGGACCCCTGCTGCCACAAGTGGGGACCCCTTGAGGCTGGGTCCTCTTGTTCTGACTGCCTGCCCCCCTCAGGGAAAAAGCACCCCACAGACAGGTGGAGAAGGCTAAGGCCAAAGGCAGAGAGGCGGAAGCGCCAGTGGCCTTTTTGCTGAGCCCCCAGCACCCTAGTGTGAGCGGAGAGCCACAGTGGTTCTCAACGTAGGGATGGGAAGGGTGAGCACACACCCTGGGCTGCGACTTGTGCAGGGCTGGGGAGCAGGGGTGGGGGTGGGGGTGTCATTCCCTGAACCCCTGCCAGCGCCCCCACGGTGACAGCAGCTGGCAATTTCTAAGGAGCAAGTTGTAGTATTGACCCAGGCGCTTGTTCACAAGGCCTGACCTGGATTCACGGCCCCCACTTGACAGCTGGAGACCAGAACCACACAGGCAGGCACCAGGCTCAGGACCCAGGCAGGCTGGCCCTGAGCCCATGCCTCTGACCACTGTGCTGTTGCCTGCAAGTCTCACTACTGAGTCCATTTCACGGAGGGGAAGACGGAGGCTCAGAGCAGCCATGTGGGAGGGGAGTGGAGCCAGCAAGGGCCCTTCAGGGCACAGCGACAACTAGACACAGGGACAGACTCAGACTATCACAGGGAACATGCGGCCCCAAGGCCAGACACCCCCCCACCCCCGCCCCAGCAATTAAGGAGACAGAGCACAGAGGAGGGCAGACACAGGGACCCTGAGACCAGGCACCCTTAGCATGGTTACCTGAGCATTTATTTCCGGCCTTCCAACCGCCCCAGAACTATTTGGGGCAAGAGGAAGAAAATAGACTGATTTGCTTCCTCTCAACCCCCTTTCCCCAACGCCCACCCCCTCCAGCCTCAACTAAATTCTAAGCACCTGACCCTACAACCCAGGAAAGTAGTTTCATTTCCCCCACTGCAGATTTCTCAAAGGGAGGGGAGGGCGGGGCTCAGCTCATTGTTTAAGGACCAAGAAGGGGGCCAGGGCAGACCTTTGGAAGCAACAGGAGAGAGAGGGTGGTACTGCTGTCCACAGAGAGCCCAAGGTAGAGGGGAGGCTGCCAGGAAACTGGGACCCACAGAAATAGACACAGGGAGACAGGGCAGAGGAGAGGGGAACAGAGAAGAGAAGGACAAGGAGGGCAGGGACGGGGACGGGGGCAGATAGGTGAGCACAGAACAGGAGGCTGCTAGAAGGGGTAGATGGAGGCATGAGGCTCCAGAGAGACGGGTGGCCTTAGGGACAGGGCCTGGAGTGGGACCCAGGCCCCTGTCACAGTGGCCCTTGCTTCCCCTCCAAACTAGACACCATCTCCCGCAGAGAGTTATGGCCTCGTCGGGTAAGTAAGCAGGAGAGGGGGGCACAGGGCCGGGGGGGACGGAGCCCACTCTCCCCACACGTACCTACTGACCTTCCCACTGATCCCGTCCTCCTCCCTCCAGCCCGGTACTTGCTTGTCCTGATCTCCATCTTCTTCAGCCTGGTGGCCTCCCTGGACTGGAAGACTTCCCATAGCCAGGATCCCTTTGAGAAATGTATGCATGATCCTGACTATGAGGTGCTGCTCAAGGTTGTGACCTTGGGCCTCAATCGAACCTCAAAGCCCCAGAGGGTGATTGTGGTTGGTGCCGGTGTGGCTGGGCTGGTAGCTGCCAAGGTGCTCAGTGATGCCGGACACAAGGTGAGAAGTGCTGCTTGCAGTCTACCTGGAGTCTTTTGTGCTGCAGGCTGGGAATCCCGGGTGTTAGGGGCCTGGCCACGTCCCTGTTGAGGGGCTGGTAGGAGGTGGAGAGAGGAGCTGTGCTTTCCCGCTTGGTCTGAGGACTGAAACTGGAGGGGAGGCTGAGAGACCTTTGACCTTCCCTGCCCCACTCTCTCTCATTCCTGAGGGAAGTCCCTCTGAAAGTCCTCCAACCTCCCGGAGGGGAATTTGTGCTGGTGGCCATGGTAACTCCACTCAAGGAACACTGCCTGAGGTCTAACCACTGCCCCTCTCACTGAAAGCCGAGAAGGAGAATGGGCTGGGCCAGGACTTCTGTGCACGGAGGAAATCTCCGCGCCCCCCCCCCCCCACTCCCTAGGCTGGGAAGTTCTTCTGCAATCTGGCTTGCAGTCGTCCTGCTGCAGCTGGGAAACTGCATATTGTACGTGCTTGCTAGGACATCTGTTCTCCCACCAGCTCCTCTGGCTTTTTCATGTAGAAGGGCGTCCTTCTCTAGTCTAGGTCTGGGCTGCTGTGGGGATGGAAGCTGGGTGCTGGCACAGGGTGGGGATGGGGGGAGTCAGTGGGAGGAGCTGAAGGGCCCTGCTTGGTGCTCCCCACCCCCATCCCTCAGGTCACCATCCTGGAGGCAGACAACAGGATCGGAGGCCGCATCCTCACCTACCGGGACCGGAAGACAGGCTGGATTGGGGAGCTGGGAGCCATGCGCATGCCCAGCTCGCACAGGTGAGGCCTGGCCAGGCAGCCCTGTGGGCACCGAAGCCTCCCCTAGCCCCACCTCTGTGTCCCTGAGGTGCTCAGAGCTCCGTGTCCAGCCAGAGTTCCAGTTCTGCCCTCCCAACCTTGTCTCCTCCGCATCGCAAGCCCTCACCTGACCCAAGCTCTGTCCTCATTCCCACTTCAGCCCCAACTAGCATGCGGAGAGTTGAAACCATCACTGAGATGAGTGAAAGAGCTGAGCTGAGATGAGCCATTTTTTGATGACTTTTTTTTTTTTTTTTTGACTGACTTTTGAGCTCTCCTCTCATTATTGGCCCATGACCAGCCTCACGACTCTGGCCAGATGCGGATGGGCCGTCCCCAGCCTCACGCCCCAGCTCGGAAGGGACTGGCATTATCGGCCTGCCCCATTATGAGTGACCCTTGATGAGTGGCCTCTGCTCCCGGCTCCTTCAGGATCCTCCACGAGCTCTGCAAGAGTCTGGGACTCAACCTGACCAAATTCACTCAGTATGATGAGAACACGTGGGTAGAGGTCAACAACCTGAAGCTGCGCAACTATGTGGTGGAGAAGATGCCAGAGAAGCTGGGCTACAAGCTGCGCCCCAGGGAGAAGGGCCACTCACCCGAAGAAATCTATCAGATGGCTCTCAACCAGGTAGGCAGCCTCGGGAGCCCCGCGGCCCGTCCCCCACGCCCCTCTGCCCTCGGTCTCTGATCCGCTTCTCACGCACGCTGTCCGGACAGCCTCAGATTCTACGAAGGCCTTTGGCTTAAACTTTGGTCTTGGACCTGATGTTTTCCCCATCCATCTTGGGGGACCCAGACTTTTGTCCATGTCCCCCTTCCCCGGGTCATACCCCAGGACCCTCCGGCTCCCACCGAGCTCAGCATCTTCCCTTAACCCCACACATACTCCCGGGTTCCCCCATCTCACGATGGCCCCATCGCCCCCACCCTAGTCACAAGGCAGACAGACCCTCAGGTGCTGTCCTAGCTCCCTCCCTGTCCCTTCCACCACCAGTCAGTCCCCAGCCCCATCCCTCCTGCCCCCTGACTCTCCTGCAGTGTTCCCACCTCTCTGTCCCCACGGGCCCTGCTCTGGCTCAGGCTTTTCACCCTGTTCCAGCCCCTGCTCACAGCCCCCTATGGCTCCCCAGCGCCTTAGCCTCAGGGTCAAGCCCTGAGTGGTCTGGTTTCTCTCACCCCTCTAGCCTCATCTCTCCTCCAAGAAGTGTTTGTTATCCTCCAAAGCCTTCGGAGTGGCCAAACCCCCCAGCCCTGCACTCCTTCGTACCCACAATGCTCCTTCACCATCCTGCACCCATGCCCTTGCTCTTGCTTCCTGCCCCGCCTGCAGGCCTTTTCCCTTTCCCACCCAGGGAACCCTACTAATCCCCCAAGAACCAGGTCCAACGTCCCCTCCTCCAGGAAGCCTTCACTGGTGCCCTCAGGGAGGAGCCAGCCTTGGCCTCCTCTGGGAGCTCCTGTCTGGCTCCCCTCCTGGACCAGGGTGGGCACTGAGTGCAGGCCATTTCTGTGCCCTGGCACTGACCAGTTCAGGGAGCCTAGGGAGACGCAAGGTGAATGATGAGTGAGTGAGCAAAGGAGCACATGCTTTGAGGAGTTCCCCAGCCACAGGGGAAAGCCACGTGGACAGAGAAGAAGGCTAACATCAGATGGGGCTGTGAGGTTCCCAGGAAGGGAAGAGACTTGAACAGCGCAGTAAAGGATGGCCACTCATGTTTCAGGCAAAGACAAGGCAGGGGGACGAGTGCAGTGGTGCGGCGCAGGTGTCGGGGGGGCCCGAAAGTGGTCTGGGCACTGCACATAGTGCTGCAGAACGACAGCTGCTGTAAGATGGTGACTGAGGGGCCCCGGGCCCTGGGGAGCCACAGGAGGGCTGTGGGCAGGGGAGGATCCAGTGAATAACCCCTCAGGGCTGACAGGGGGCAGAAGGGACTCTGCTTCTGTCTGTGCCCCCAGTGATGCAGGTGACAATCACTAAGCACCAGGAGGATACAGCATTGACTAAAACAGACACGATACCTGCCTGCGCTAATTCACAGACTAGGACAAGTGCAGGCCAACAGTACCCGATAGGGCTGAGTGTGACACTGTCAGGGTGGGATGAAGGCTGGGAGATGAGGGGCATTAACAACTTGGGAAGAACTTCCCAGAGTGGAGGGCAAGGCCGAGGGCACAGCATGGACAAGGACCATGCTGACTTGAGCAAGAATGGTAAATGGCTGGTCATGGGCAGGTGCGGGAGGAGAACCCAGGTTTGGACCCCAAGTCTGCCCTCTGCAGTCCTGCCCCTGGAGCTCAGCACTGTCCCCTTGTTCCACCACAGGCCCTCAAAGATCTCAAGAAACTGGGCTGCAGAAAGGCAATGAAGAAGTTTGAAAGGCACACGCTCCTGGTGAGTGGGGGCCTCGGCGTCGCCGTCTGAGAAACAGAAACAAGGAGGGCACCCGTGGGCTTTAGCCCTGGAGTCAGAAGGCAGGAGTCCCGGACTCCAGGCCTGCCACGGCCCTCCTGCCTGACCCGAGGCGGCACACGGCCCCCTCTCTGGGCTTGCGTCCCTCCTCTGGATGGCTAAGCTTCAGAGAACCGTACTAATAAGCTCACGGTCCTGTCACGGAACCAGGAGGCTCAGCCTGGGAGGGACCCCCATGGGAGCGGGGACAGAACAGCCAGGTGCAGGACGCTTGGGTCCTGACCCGGGCGCGCACCCATCCCCCAGGAATACCTCCTCGGGGAGGGGAACTTGAGCCAGCCGGCCGTTCGGCTCCTGGGAGACGTGATGGCCAAGGACGGCTTCTTCTATCTCAGCTTCGCGGAGGCCCTAAGGGCCCACAGCTGCCTCAGCGACCGGCTCCGGTGAGAGGCGGGGCCAGTGGACAGGGCGGGGCCGACGAGGGCCAATGCGGGCGAGAAACGGAGTGGGCGGAGCTGTTGGCGTTGGGTGGGGCGGGACTGGCGGGAAAGGAGCCGGACGCACAGGTGCGGGTAGGGGCACAGAGGGCGGAGAGACGCGGAGCTCGGGTCAGGCCACACGCGCCCTCTCGTCACGGTTCCTCCGGAGGAACTGGATAAGAATGTTCCCGGAAAAAGGTGTGGCTCAGAGAAGAGACGGGGTTCCCGGGTCGCACATTCTCTGCTCCCTGGTCCTCCGGGTGATGTCAGGGACTGGCGAGGTCAAGGGTAGATGAATGGGCGGGGCCCGCGAGAAGGGGCAGGATAAGAGGGGACCCGGCAGGTGAAAACTAGGATGGGTACCGGGGAGTGCCCAGGGCGGGGCCCGCGGGGAGGAGCCCACGAGGCAGGGCAGTGCCCGAGCTCCCGGATCACGCTTTCGCCCTGCCCGCAGGTACAGCCGCATCGTGGGCGGCTGGGACCTGCTGCCGCGCGCGCTGCTGAGCTCGCTGTCGGGGCCAGTGTTGCTGCACGCGCCTGTCGTGGCGATAACGCAGGGGGCGCACGATGTGCGCGTGCACGTCGCGAGCTCGCGCGGGGCCCGGAGTCTGAAGGCCATGACCGCCGATGTGGTGCTGCTCACCGCGAGCGGGCCGGCGCTACAGCGCATTGCCTTCTCGCCGCCGCTGACGCGCAGGGGGCAGGAGGCGCTGCGCGCGCTGCACTACGTGCCGGCCACCAAGGTGTTCCTGAGCTTCCGCCGGCCCTTTTGGCACGACGAGCACATCGAGGGCGGCCACTCGAACACCGCCCGCCCGTCGCGCGTGATATTCTACCCGCCGCCGGGAGAGGGCGCGCTGCTTCTGGCTTCGTACACGTGGTCGGACGCGGCCACCGCCTTCGCCGGCCTGAGCCAGGAGGAGGCGATGCGCGTGGCGCTCGACGACGTGGCGGCGCTGCACGGGACGATCGTGTACCGGCTCTGGGACGGCAGCGGCACAATCAAACGCTGGGCCGAGGACCCACACAGCCAGGGCGGCTTCGTGGTGCAGCCGCCGACGCCCTGGCAAGACGGCGGGGACGACGGGCAGGACTACGACTGGTCAGTCCCCTACGGCCGCATCTACTTCGCCGGTGAGCACACGGCCTACCCGCACGGCTGGGTGGAGACTGCTGTCAAGTCGGCGCTGCGCGCGGCCGTGTTAATCAACAGCCGCGAAGGGCACAGCCGCGAGGGGCACACGCTGGTCAACGAGGAGGGGCTCGTGCGCCAGGTGCCCAGCCGTCCCCGGTGCGAGTTCCAAAAGGCTGGTGCCACCCACGCTCCGGCCCCACATGGGATGACCGCTCAGCACACCAAGAGACCCGAGCATTAAAAATGTATTTTCAGAAAAAGCCGTGTGGTTCAGTAGCTTCCCCAATGTGCACGAAGCAAAGCCGTTAGCCTTCGCGGTGGAAGGAGCTGCGCCTCGTTCTGGGGCCGCAGCAGCTGTCCTACTTCTTCCTGGGCGGTGGGGCCCCACCGGGGGAGGGGGAGAGGAGGGACCAGATGGACACTGCTTTGTGCCACTGGTAGATGGTAATCACGGTGCCCACTCCGGCTGTCACCAAACAGAGGAGCCCTGATGTCAGTAATAGCCCAGCAGGCAGTGGGTTAAACACGAGTTTATTGTTTTCATGTAACAAGAAGCTGGTGGGCAGAGTCCCTAGAGTGTCTCAACAGCTCTGCAGGCCCTTCCATCTCGGTTATGTCCCGGACGTGTCCCCGCAAAGCCACCGGTGGCGGCCATACCCCAGCACTTCCTCCTCCTTCCTCCAAAAGCCCCAAATCCAGGCGGATAACAATAGCCCTACCTCCACGAGCCCCCCAAAGGCCTCCTCTGACGTCTCATTGGCTGGGTCGGGACCACGTGATCAGGCGTCAGCAGAGCGGCAAGGCCACCACCCCCTCCCCATCCAGGTCCACGCCAAGATAGCCGCCTCCTTCACCTACACGAGGCCAGCTGGACACGGGAAGTGTCAGTTTAATGAGATGGGCTCATTAGGAGCCGCGGGAGGTACGGTGGGGAGGCCCGCCCTCTTCGCACACTTCCTCCCCAGCCTCTGCGATCTGGATAAAGTGCTTGTGCCGGGCAGGCCGGCCGGGAGGGTTAAGACTTCACGCTTTCCTCTTCCTCCCCCTCCTCTTCCTCCTCCTCCGGCAGGATCTCCAGGCTGCTGTCCGGCTGCGGGGCTGTGTCCTCGGGGGGCGGTGGGGCCGGTGGGGCCCGGGTGGGCGACAGAGGCAGTGGGGAGGCAGGGGGCGAGGGGCTGTGGGGCTCTGTGGGTGGCACCAGACCCAAGACCTCCTGCACGTTGTGGGGCAGCTCCTGCAAAGTCGGCAGGTGGGAGCGAAAAGTCAGTGGTTTTACCGGGGGTGGTGGGGCAGGGAAGGGTGTTGGCAGAAGTCGGGGGCTCACCGGGCAGGCGGTCAGCTGCCGGTAGAGGGCCTCGGCCCGCGTCAGCACGTCCTCCACGCTCAGCTTCATGGTCAGCTCATTGATGTGCTGTGGGAAGGGGTGGATCAGGCCTGCCGGCCTACGGGCCCTCAACCACCACCGCCCCAGCGCCCATTCTGTGCCTCTGGCTGGGGATATAATGGAAGAAAGACAGACTGGGGAAGGCTGGAGGCTGGGGAGAGGACGAGGTCATGCCCTCAGGCTGCTTGCCAGATGCAAGTACAGTGAAGGGAAAGGGCACTGAGCTCCACCCCTATGGCCCTGTCGTGCATTAACGTGATCGGGAAGGGGTAGGTCCCCCCCTCACGTGCTGGCCGCACCCCATAAGGGTGCTGCTGGCAGCCAGCGATAGGATGGGGTAGGGAAAACAGCCCGATGTCACGGCCATGGTGCTCACAGCTTAGCCAACCGCACTTCCCACAATCCTGTTTTGAGTAGTTGCTACCCCAAGGTAAAGTGTGGCATGGGCACAGCACCAGCCTCTGCGGAATTCACACCTGAGCTGCCTTGAAACGCTTACGCAGGTCAGGACTGGCAGGGAGAAGGGGAGGACTGGGAAGGAGCCAAGGCCTCACCTTGAGGATCTCATTGGAGCCAAAGCCGGAAAGCATGAGGGTGTCCCGTTCCATGTCCAGAATGGCACAGGCCACCAAAAGGTGCAGATTGGGGCCAGGGAGCCCCGTCCACAGCACCTGGGAGGGCCAGAGGGAGGAGTCACCGCGCAGTCTCTGCCTGAGGTCCCACCCAGGTCTGCCTCACCCCTGCCCACTTCCCCCCCACAACCTCCCAGCCTGGGGTTGCTGACCTATTTCTCTTTCCTGTTCACCCACCGACCCAAACTGGGGGGCCCACCTCCCACAGCCGAAGGACGTCCGGGAAGGGGAATTCTCTCTTGAACCAGATAAGCAGCCACCGGAAGCAGAAGCAGAGAGAGCCAGAGTCCTGGGAGTCTGGAGGAAGACAGTGGTGGGGAGGGGAGGTGCTGAGCAAAGAGCAAGCCCCAAAGCCATTCCAACCCCATTTTCATTTACAGTGTGCACGGTGGTCAGACTGCGACTCTAAGAAGTTATCTCAGTCGTAAGAATCTCCACCAGTCTAGGCAAGGAGCTTATGCCCAGCATGGGAAGGCTTCAGCAGTGAGCCAGGAATGCTCTGTGTCCACAGGAACCTTCCAGACTCCAGATGAGGTGAGCCAGTCCCGTTTCCCACCTTCACATAAAAGGGGTGCAGTGTGCACTCGAGGAAAAAAATAAAAGGTACCAATACCCAATGCTGGTGGAGGCGTGAGGAACCGGGACACTCGTGTGACACTCGTGTGACACATGTGTACTCGGCTAGCAAAAAAAAAGTTGGTAAAAACTTCCAGGAAAGCAGTGACGGGAACAAACATTTCAAAAGCCGTGAAACTATCTCCTGCCCTGAATACAATTTCACTTCTTGGGATTTAGCCTAAAATAATCATCCTGACTACGGTCATTGTGATGAGAAACTGCCAATAACTGACACGTCTGGCAGGTCAGGGGAGATCTAGTCTTGTAGGCACTTAAGGCAGACACAACACCTGGTCCGGCAGCTAGTGTCCAGGCGCCCCCGGAAGTGGCCTGTGCTTTCCTGGATCGCCTCCTCTTTGGTGAGGCGATCTCGGCAATAGCTCCCTCCCCCAGGGCCACCCTAACGTCAGTGAGGAAACGCCCCTAAAGAACTTAACTCATCGTCACCTGCGTTCAGAAAGAACCATATTATCGACAGCAGCTTTGACTTTCCTTATCGGGATTCCCTGCGTTTTTTACATCCAACAAGCAACGAAGAATAATTTTGGGGCCGGAATGCAGCGGGCCCAGCCCCGGGAGCCCCGACAACCAGTTTGCAATCCTGGTTCAAGGTGGGTGGAGGAACGAAGCGCTAGCAGCTGCGCCCAGCCCCCACGCCTTCCATCTGCGAAGTAAGGGGCTTGGGGAGCGTGGGGGAGGGGGCGCACGGGAGCGTGGACGCATCTGCGCCTGTGGGGAGGTTTGCTCCCAAGGGCAATCCTGCATAAACTTTGGGTTCTGGGTTATGCGGGGAGACATTTCTCCCGTTTGGATCAGGACCAAATGTCCCGGACACCGTCTGTGGCCCCGCCACCCACTGACCGCCTGCTGGGACGCCTACCCAGGAAATCGCAGAGCGACGGGTCCAGCACCCTCAGGAGCAGCAGGAGCTGCCCGAGCTGCCGCTTCATGGTCTCCTGACTCTCCTCGAAGTTCCCGTGCTGCAGGAGGGACGGCGAGATGAGGAGCCAGACCCCGGTCCCTGGAGGGGCCTGTCTCCCATGCCCGCCTGGGGCCTCACCACGAGCTCCATGAAGCCACAGAAACACCAGAAGGCATCCACCTCGTTCTGGACGACGTAAAGGATCGGGGAGAGGAGGTCACTCATGCCCTGGACGTAGCCTGGGGGAACACGAGGTCAGGGCCCGGCCTAGGCCCTCAGCACCCCGCCCCCCTCCCCAAGGGAAGGCCCGACCCCCAACCCCTCCCCGGGCCGGCGTCGCACCGAGGTCGAAGTGGTACATGCAGTAGGTGAGGAGGATGTCGTTCAGCAGGCCCAGCCCTGGGTTCTCAGGACCCTCATAGAACTTGTTAGTCCTGTCGGTACGGCTCACGTCTCTCTCTGCGGAGACAGGGCGCGGGATGCCCAAGTGACGAGGCTGTGGGGGCCCATCCCTGCTGGCTGTGGCCACCAGCCCCCGCCCCTCCCTTCCGCAGACCCCGGGCAGGTGTGAGTCGGTCCAGAAACCGTCTCGGGCGCTCTCACGTGAGGCGCCCTGCTTCACGCTTGGCCAGGTCGCTGCATCCTCCCAGCCACCAACAGTCACTGAGCCATCCACAGGTGGGAAACTGAGGCCCAAGGAGGCGAAACCACTCGCCAAGGCCTGACGGTACGCAGACGGCAGGCTGAGCCCAAGGAGTCCGGCTCCCTTCCCCAACTCCCCATCTCCTCACTGCAGATAACCTCATCCCTTTTCTTGGGAAGGTAGGGGGCTCCCCTGTCCTCTCCCTGCCGGTTCCCATCTCCCCGCCCCAGCCCCGGCCCCGCGACCCACCGATGAGGCTGCGGTAACCGTGCAGCAGTGAGTTCCTCCGCTCCTGCTCGGGGCTCACAGATTTCCACTGCAGCTTCATTCGGAAATACTCATCCCTGAGGGGCCCGGAGAGGGGTCACACAAGGCCACGACGCAAGCCACCCAGTCGCCCTTGCCCCTGGCCCCGTGCTTCCCCTTTCTGACATCTCTCACAACACACAACAGCCTTGTGAACTCTACACCCGACGTGGGGCTCAAACTCACGACCTCAAGATCAAGAGTCGCACGTTCTACAGTCTGGACCAACCAGGCACCCC